AATAAATTTAGACGGTCAGGGGGGGCGGGGGGGGCCGTGGGGGGGGCGGGCCGCCCCCCTAAAATAATGGCAGGGGAAACACTGGAATTTATTCCAGCTGTGAAAAAGGACCTGTTTGTAACATGCTTTCTCTCCGTGTCTCTCCAGCAGTCTGTCTCCACCAGATCTTCTGGATGGGAGCCTCAGTAGCGTCGGCTCCTCCTCGGACTCTCCCGCCAAGATGGAAGGAGTGTCGCCCTCCTCCAGTAACTCTTCCCTCACGCCCCCTCAGGACCTCTCCCCTAAGTGATCCGCTGAGCATCACGGACATCACAGGAGGACTGGGCCGCTTCTCAGGCCCTTTTCCACTCATTTTACTTTTATTCCCAATGCCTTCCCAACATGGCTTTTGTTTTTTTCCTGAATTGTCCTGTTATGTTACATTTGAAGCGAGGCGAGAGAGTATTCCGTGTGGGACAGACCCTAAGGGCATGGAGAGACTGTGGATGTTTTTTGCATCAGCTGCTATAAATAGATGTAAAATATGGTGTATGGATCTGTATCAAAGCGAACAATGTCACAGAAGAGGGTCTTGGATTTAGTTTTTTGTTTTGGTTCCCTTATGGGGCAATTATCTTTTTGATAACGCTTCGAAAAGAAAACCGCTGTAAACAGGAGAACAACTACAGGTTTCCAACCGGTTTTGTGCGTGAGAATTTAACTTATTTTTTGCTTTTATTTGTATGCAAGTATGTACATAAGATATGTGGCAAAACGTGCAGAGGCAAAGAGCTCGACCGGCAAACTGACAGCCGCCTCTTCTGGAGTTTTATTAGCGGTGCAACTGCACTTTAAAGGGGCTGAATTTAATTTTGGGCTTTGTTCTGATTCTGCATATTTAGTTTTTCAGGAATGGCCTTTTCTTGATTTTCATGTAGGTGGAGGAAGGTATTTTTTCAGAGCTTGGCACTTCATTCTCCGTTAGAATGATATTCATGGTTGCTATACACAACTACTGCAGATGGGATTTATTATTGCAGCTGTTGGTAACCACTAAATCCTCGATTTGAACACTACAGAGAAACTAAACTGCCTGTGTTTGATGTTTGTCAAGCTAAAGACGTGCGTACAGCCGTGTTGTCATTTTTACAGCTTTCAGAGAATGGAGCAAAACATCCGGGCTGAGATGAATGATGTCCATTGTATGTTTTTGCTTCTCGCGCAGTGACTTCGCCCCGTTTCTGTTATTCGGGAAGGGTTTGGAGGAGAATGGGCTATACAGAGTTTTCAGTGTTGTTTTTCAGAGGCTGTTAACAACGACACATTTGGCAGTTTAAAATGTGAGAAGCAGAAAAGTGCAAAGAAATGAAATCCTCCCATCAAAAATGTTATTTGTGGAGTTTAAATTTTTAAATGTAATCTACTGATACTGAAACGGTGTGCCATTAAATTTGTATATAAGAGAAATGTACAACTGTAATTGTAGGAGTTCTTCGTTTGGGGCTGTAGTTACTTTAGTGAGTTTTTTTTTGTAAATGGTTTTCTAAATTTCATTCAAAGAAATTGCTTTATTTCCTTAAGCATGATATGATGTATCATAAATTAATTTTTCTGTGGAAGAAAGTGCTTGTAAAATCCTTTTTTTTTTTTTTTTTTTTAATCACATTCTGAAAAAAGAAAAGGCATCAATGCAATACGAGCAGTTGCATTGAACAATTAATGTCAGAAACTAATAAGTCCAGTATTTCTCAGACACATATTCCTGTTCACATTCTTAAAGAAAAAAGGATGACAGTGACATTTAAGTTAATGTTGCTATTTTTAGCTTTCCTAGAGTGGACACAATCATTGCATTATGTTTATTTGAATTGAACACTGCAGTGTAAATCTTTTTCTGAATGTCTTTGCAAACAAAAATACAGTAAGTGGGTCATGTAGATCTAGATTCTGTCCTGTAGTGATGGGTGAAGTGTATTTGTAGTTTGTCCTGTGGACGTGTCGAATTCTTTATTTAATGATTTTTACTGTCCTTTCGACTCACAGTACTGAGGAGGACTGAGTGCTGTCATGAGAACGTGTAGTTGTGCTCTGCTCTCTCTGAACAAATTTTGTTCCCATCATATCAGAGACTTCCAGATGTCAGAAATAAATTATTTGTCCAGCTATGTTGTTGCCTCGTCTTGTGATACCAAACTTATTTGTTGGTGTCAGTGTGGTTCTTGTCTTCAAAAACATAATGGTTTTAACAGGTGTTAATGTATTCTATGGTCTTTCTTGTATCAGTGCACTTCATTTACTTCCTTAATGAAATGACCCTTTTAACAGATTGTGATTAATTTCCACAAATTAACTTTGTGAATGTATAAGTTAACTATTTTTAATATTTTTGAAAGTCTCTTATGCTCACCAAGACTCCATTTATTTGATTAAAAAAAAGCAAAAATAGTAATAAAATATTTCAATTGAATTGAACACAACTGTTTACTTTTTGAATGTAATTTATTCCCGTGAGAATTTTCAGCAGTCATTTTTCCAGTCAGTCTCACTTAATCCTTCAGAAATCAATCTAAAATGCTGATTTGCTGCTCAAGAAACATTTCTCATCAGTGTTGAAAACCGTTGTGCTCCTCTTTGATGAATAGAAATGCAAAAGAACCTAAAACCATGCATTATATTACCTTGGGTAATACAGCAACTAGTTAGGAAGGGGTTTCTAATAGAGTTTCTGACAGAGAGGGTGGAAAGAGCCATTAATATTCAAACTTGTTCTTCAATCTGTTATAACTTATTAAAAAAAAAAAAATTTTACAAGCCAAGTAAAAACTGTGCATTACTGCCAGCTTACTGAGTATCTAATTCTGTTTCCTCTATATTTTCCAAATGTTACACTAAATTAGTTGGAGGACAAGACATCAATTTTCAGGGATGCTGAAATTAATCAGCTTATTTCTAAACAAACATTTATCCCACTCCTGTTACATATTGCTTCCTAATCCGTCTGAACTATGATTCAGAAACTAATGTTACTACCAATACTTTTGAACATAAAACTGTTTCTAGGAAATGCTTTTAACAATCAATTTCTTTATTTGATGTGGCATCTATAGAGATTACTGTGCACAAGATTTAAGCAGTGGACAAACATCTGAACAAAAAAAGCCATTTCAGTCTTGAGAGAAGCAACAAAAATCCAGAGACACAGAATATGACGTATCCACCCCCCAGATTCAATGCCAAGCTCAGTCAGTGTTCAGCCTGTAAACACAGAACGCTCCCCTCCCTCGCCCATGGATCATTGTGTCTGAGTTTGTGATGATCATTTAAGTTAGTTCCTGTTTATAGGGAGTTTCTCAGACGTGCTTCCCCTCAATCCTCACAACCCTCCTGGCTGTGTTAATGTCCATATCTCCCCTCTTCATTATCTTAGTTCCTTTCAGCAAGATTGTTTCCAAGAGCACTTCAAGTGCGCATAATAACCATTGTAAGAAGACCTGTGCGACATGGGAAAGAACCATGATAAAGTGCAGAAGACAATGAATATTTGGAATATGATGCTTTTTTTTTGTGACTCACCTAAAACATAAGCAGCTACAAGTTTCTTGTTAACACTTAAGTGGAGGTAGACAGGCACTGTGGATTCCTGCTCTCCCAGAGTTGGGAGCATAAGGGCCGCCATACACACCAGGCCTAAAAGGACAGTGAGGAGGCTGGGACCCCCAGACGCTGTACGGCTCTCTGTGCAAACAGAAAAGGAAGAAGCAGATGGTTTTAAAATGAAAGCAAACCACCAAACAATAAAAATAATACAGCTCTCTGACTCCCCCCCCCCAGTGGGTAAAGTAGTTAACAGCAACAGCTTTACTGCAGCTCAGTAAGGCAGCCCAAAGATAGCAGGGAAAAGCTACAAACCATGCCATTATTTTCAAGCAAAAGTGTGTTTATGAATTTATGAGTTATATTACAGCAGTATTATAGCTTCAAGCTTGTCGCAAATTTTATGTTTGTGAAACAAAAATATTTATGAAAATTGTTTTGGAAAAAAAATTGTAAAAACTTTTTAATAAAAAAACAGAAGTATTACTTTTAGTAAATATAAAAAATACATTGCTAAATTTCAATTTGTGAAGAAAAACAAAAAAAACTAAAATTTGTAAAACAAAACAACTTTACATTAAATAAAAAATATAAATATGATTTCCAGTCAATATAAAATTTTGTGAAAAAAAATTAAGAAAAAAGAAAGAAAGAAAAAAGAAAAACTGAAACTTGTATTTTTGTCGAGAAAAAATTGAAAATAGTAAAAACTTACCATTTAATAAAAAATAATACTATTACTTCTAGCAAATATTAAAACAAAATACAATGCTAAATTTCCATTTGTGAAGAAATAAAAAAACAAACAAATAAATTGAAATGTACTTTTTGAAGAAAACATGTGTATAAAATGTTTAGAATTTATATATATTTATTAAATGTATATTTTTGACTTTTTTAAGTAATATGTAACATCAATAAATACATAAAATAAACAATAATATACATAATATATGTATATATAAAATTTTTCAGAATTATTTATACTGTACTACTTTCATATTGTGACGCATTTCTGACTAAAACAAGATATTCAACAACAACAAAGAAGCTAAGACATGGTTTTATCCTTAGTGAATTGCCTGGATTATAAAAAGTTGTTTCTATGACTGGTGGATTGGACGTTTAAAAAAATGAAGAGGGTTGAAAAGATGGAGAAAGCCATTACTCTTTGAAAATTTAAAATAGTAAAAACTTACCATTTAATAAAAAATAATACTATTACTTCTAGCAAATATTAAAACAAAATACAATGCTAAATTTCCATTTGTGAAGAAATAAAAAAACAAACAAATAAATTGAAATGTACTTTTTGAAGAAAAAATTTGTGTATAAAATGTTTAGAATTTATATATATTTATTAAATGTATATTTTTGACTTTTTTAAGTAATATGTAACATCAATAAATACATAAAATAAACAATAATATACATAATATATGTATATATAAAATTTTTCAGAATTATTTATACTGTACTACTTTCATATTGTGACGCATTTCTGACTAAAACAAGATATTCAACAACAACAAAGAAGCTAAGACATGGTTTTATCCTTAGTGAATTGCCTGGATTATAAAAAGTTGTTTCTATGACTGGTGGATTGGACGTTTAAAAAAATGAAGAGGGTTGAAAAGATGGAGAAAGCCATTACTCTTTGAAGAAAGATTACCAGCTTTTTTCTTTAGAAATACAAGTGCCTATGAAATATGAATCAATCACAGTATGAACCAAGAATGTGTATTAAGAACATAAATGCACGTTGACTGTAATATGCACCTGTCTGGAATGCAGTCTGCTCAAAGAACACTCTGTCGGCAAGCTGCTCCTTCATCCTGCGCTCCTCTTCCTGGGGCCGGACCTGGGGCTGCTCCTGAGCGGCGGAGGGCAGCAGAGTGGCCATCACTTCCTTCCTGCCCAAAGCCTTCCTCTGACTCTGCTCAGACACCTGCAGCCGGAACTTATCAATCACCCCGTAATGACAGGCCCGCACGTCCCTATGGCGGATCACGCTGTTTGGCGAAAATCACAAGAAATGGAAGGTTGTGAAAGGCTGAAACAAATCAAATCTGCTTCAAATATTTCAAGTGCAAGACCTGGAAACTTACATATCCACACAACATTGTGGTTTAACAGCACCAGTGGCATCCACCACAGCATACTTGTTTGGTGCTGTGCACAAAACTGATGAAACAACAAACAGTAAGAAAGGAAGGACCACTACAGCACTCTACTGTAAGAAGGCTTCTCGTGGGTACTAAGGAAAATGCATGACTCACCTTTGAATTTAAGAGCAAACTCATAAGGGTTGTAGAGGGTGAGCACCTGCTTATGTGAAGCCTGCTCATCTGCGTAGAACACCAGCTCGGTGGGGAACACAAACACTGGAAGGCTTCCCTCCACTAGGTCAGGCTGCCGGCTCTGCTGCTGCATTGGCTCCAGCTGAGCTCACGTCCTCCTGGCTTTATCGTATTCCCACTCCGTCTCTAGGCTGAAACGGTGCAGAGATCCCGTTCTAAATGCAGCCAGTTCCGCTCTTTGGCAGCATGACGTTCACCTCTGAAATGACAGAAACGGGGCCATTTCATCATGACAAGCAACAGGAGGCAGGAGTACAAAAACTATGTTTAAACAGAAATAACAAAGCTACTCATAATAATAAAAACAACACGGAATATAAAAAATACACAAAAACCCACATTTAGTGTGAACTGAATGGCTAAAGTCACTATGTGTAACTGTAACACTACTGTTCCAAAGTTTGGGGTCAGTAAGATTTTAATACTTTTATTGGGCAAGGATGCCCTACTGTGACTTTTGAATAATTTAAAGACTTTTATGTCACAAATGATTTCTACTTCAAATAAATGGCGTTCTTTTGAACTTTTCATTCATCAAAAAATCCACAATGTGTCCATAAAAATATCAAGCATATTTTAAGTTTTCAACATTGATAATAATAATAAATGTTTCTTGAGCAGCAAATCAGCATATTAGAAGAGTGGAGTAATGAAGCTCTTCTAATATGCATCACAGGAATAAATTACAT